GGATTTTCCCTATTCATTTATTTTGCATAGTTGTCTCTTCATCATCGGGAGAATGGTTTCAATAACTGATTCCACCTGAACCACTTGAAATTCTGTATGTTCCCCCTGTGAGGTTTTATTCATACTGCCAACACATTTTGAGCTCATCATCTAAACTCACAAGGATGAGAAACTTGCTCTTAAAAATGAAACCTTAATTTCTCAGGATGCTGAATTCTGTTGCTGATAAAAATTCTTCACTTGGATCCAAAGTGTACAGCCTTGGTTACAGTAGACTCTTCAGTACAATGCTTCCTCTCCATTTAATGTTGAGTGTGTTAATTCTAATCCCTGTTGTATTCTATCTGTGGGATTGAGGGGAATTTGTAATGGCATAAGAGCTTTCAAGCACTGCCAATATTTAGCCGCCTGTGTTCTGAAAATAACTTAGTGAATGCTTTACTGATTACGGAAATATTTCAGTTTTTGTCACAGATCTGTTATTAGTGATTTGACAACCATATGTGCAGATTCTAAGGCCTCCTATGAATTTAGCATTCCCAATAACGAACAGGAAGCACAACAGCTACATACCTAGAAAATGCTCTTAGTAATAATCTCTTGTACTCCTCAGCCTTTTCCTTGAGTTAAATGCTAGATGTCTCTGTTCTCCTTCAGTGGGGGAAGACAGCCAAACTGGTCAGGTCATGCCCCCTTCACTCCAGGCAGGGCTGTGCACAGTTGTGCAGACTGATCCTCCAGTCTCCAGTTTTCATAGCCCTGCCGCTCCAGCAGGACGCTTGAGCTTAGCTCTGCTTTCTTGGAGATTATTGCCATATTGGTATGGAATGTCAAAAACCAAACTGGAGATACACAGTTACACAGTAACAGATGAAACAACGAAAGACCAACTGTGTACTAATATTGAAAAAATAAATGCAAATAAAGTTAAAGTCAATTTAAATACAATCAGTACCCAGAAGAATATATCTTTATGATATTATTGTAAGACTTCAAAAATTATTATGCATAATATGTGAATGCTACAGGTTTATTGTGTTAACAGCTTTATGACTGTATTGGTATCGAAGACAGAAAAGCCTTGAAGAAAGGCCCCCATCACCGTTCCTAAAGAAAAAAGAGACCGTTAAGACAAGTCTCTATTGCCTGAGGTTCCAGGCACTGGGGACTGGCCAATGGCAGATACCTCTACAGCAGCACAAGCTGCCATCAGTGTTGGCAGACCCAAAGCTTCAGGTTGTTCCACAGCAGGCCCCTGACTGGACAGGAAAAGCCTGGCAGAGATATAGCGGTTCCAAGCCTAGACTGCCTTGGAGTCTCATATTTTGTTGGCAGGGAAGATGGAAAGGCCTTGAGGAAGGGCCCCATTGCCAATCTTAGAAAGAACGGGGAGACTGTTGAGACAGGCCTTTCCTTCCTGAGGCTTCAAGCATCAAAGACTGGCCAGTGGCAGATACATCTGCAGCGGCATGGTCCCCTGTCAGTGCTGGCAGACCTGAGGCTTTGGGTCATTCTACAGCCGGCCCCCAACTGTGCTGGAAGAGCCCAGCAGAGCCCTACTGGGTCCAAACAACCATGATGAGATTGCAGTGGGTGGCCCACCCCATACAGACTTGGAGGCTTCCGGGCCTACAGGGTGCGAGAGGATTGGAGCTGGTGAGGGACCCCCCCCCCCAAGATACATGGGAGCAGTGGGATAAGGACCTTCAGCGTGACTAAGGGGCCGATCCAAGCAGGAGTGCCAGAGCAGTTTCTCCTTCCTCAAGCCTCTCTGAGGCCTTTTCCAGTGGATTTGGCAGTTCAGGAAAATTTCAGTGGTGTGGCTGCTCAGGTTTTCCCTGTGTATTTCTGTCCTCCCTGTGCAGATTGGAAGATGCAGGCCTTTAGGTCGGCCTGGGCCTCCCCCAACGCCGTGCGTATGCAACCAGGAATCATGTTGGCCTTTCCGTGGCTAGGGCTACCTGTCCAAGTGGTGGCTATGGCTGACCTCGCCCATAAGTATGCTAGCACTGGCGGCATCAGGAGCTGTTGAGTCAAAAGAGATGTTTCCTTTCCCTCATCATCAATGTCAGGCTTCAGGGGTAGAGGAGCTCCTTTCAGTCATAGGATATATGGCAACAAACTCTGATAAAGGTCAGAAAGTTCTCCTATGCCAGTGGTGGCGAACCTATGGCACGGGTGCCAGAGGTGGCACTCAGAGCCCTCTCTGTGGGCACGCGTACCATTGCCCCAGCCAGGCCCAGACCACCATTAAAGTGTCAAATTCTCTGTCAAATAATTTTAAGTAAATGAAAGCATTTGGGATTGCTTTCCTTACTTTGTTTGGATCATCTTAAATTAATGTATGAGTTGTTTTTTCTAAAGTAAAACCTCAGTATTCAGGTTAAATTGCCGTGTTGGCACTTTCTGGCCACTGTGTGATACAGAGTGTTGGACTGGATGGGCCTTTGGCCTGATCCAACATTGGCATCTCTTATGTTCTTATGCGATAAATAAGTGGGTTTTGGGTCGGAGTTTGGGCACTCAGTCTCTAAAAGGTTCGCCATCACTGTCCTATGACTTTCCTGGGGAAATTCTTTTAGGCTTTTCCAGCCAGAGCATTTCTGGAGATTAAAAACGGTGTCTTTTCCTTCTCGTAATTGCCAGTTGGATACAACAGACAAACCTAGATCATCAGCTTCAACCAGTTTAGATACAAGACCATCCAAAGAGTCCTCAGGTTGTTGATTCCATGAATTCTTTGATTACGTGCTAAAGGCAGAATGGGCAGTTCCAGGCAACGGCATTTACTTGCAGGCATATGAAAAAAGGCCTTTGCCTTTCCAGCAGGCATCTGAAGGACTGGTTCATCTAGTATAAAACCTAATTGTAGACGGTTGCACAAGGCCTAACGCTAGGACTGTCAGTGATAACAATGAATGAAACTTTGAGGAGATGTACACACGTCACTCCCATAGGGAAAGGAGTGCTACTCTCAAACAGCAGCAGCGCAAAAACAAACAAACACAAAACCCAAGGCAACAAGTGTGAGAGATAGTATGAAGGCACATGAAATGGTACATTAAAACAGCAAAATATTTAATCGGAATGTATTAAATGCATTTATATAGTGAGCTATTTAGGATGCAGTTGTATAGTGCAATTTGAGTCAAGTGATTAGCCATGTCAGTTGCGCTAGGATAGTGGTGTATGTGTATACAGCATTACTGCTTGCATAGCGATTCTTGTGTGAATAAAACAGTGTGAAGTTGCAGTTACCCTCCACATAATTTCTTCTAGACACACAACAATGCCAAAGAAATAAAACTGTTCATGGAACTAAAATAATATGGGGACAGATCTAATCTATGTAAAGTACTGTCTTGTTGCCAGAATTAAAGGTACCTGATTTTGACTTGATTGGCACCATAATTTCTTGTTTTGCTTTGCCTAGACGGTAGCAAATAAAACTGAATGTTAAACATTGAATGTGTTTGCTGCCCAGGGGTGGGGTGTTGCAGTGAACTGCTTCTTATAACTTAGCAAATGCTAACTGTGGTCAGTATGAGACAGAGAAAGCAAGCCATCACAAGTGAAAGAGAACATGCAGGACATTCCTGATAATCTGAAATAAGCTTTGAAAATGAACACTTTGGGTGCTTATATTTGGCACAGCAACTTGCTCAAATTCTCCATTCTCTAATAGGTAACTTTGAGCTACTTGGTTTTCACTTGTTATTTTTAATAGCTTTCTTTATAGTTTAATTGGCATTTCCTATGTGTGCTGCAGCATGCTGTTATACATGTTTATTCAGAGGTGAGGTCCCTTGGAATGCAATAGAATTTGCATCCCAGGCTAATTTGCATAGGGCTGTAGCCTTAACGAAGCGTCTCTCAATTGTTATGCTTTATAAATGGTTCTTGTAGTACAGTGATAATTGCAGCCCAAGCATTCAATTAAAAGTTTACATCTGCCTTTCCATACAGGACCTTTATTTATACCAACATTAATTTTGTTTAGATTATGGGCCTTGATGGTGCATACCAACCTTTTGGCATCAGTGCTTGATGTTCACGAATATGCTGCTGAGAGCCAGTTTAGTGTAGTGGTTAGGATCGCGGACTCTAATCTGGGAGAACCGGGTTTGTTTCCCCACTCTTTGATTCCTCACTCTTCCACATGCAGCTGCTGGTGTGACCTTGGGTCAGTCATAAACTCTCTCAGAGCTGTTCTCTCAAGGGCAGTTCTCTCAGAGCTCTCTCAGCTCCCCCTACCCCACAGGGTGTCTGTTGTGGGGAGGGGAAGGGATTGTAAACTGCTCTGAGACTTTTCGGGTAGTGAAGGGTTGGGTATAAATCCAATCCAATCTCTTCTCTTCTCCTGCTACAAGGAGACCTTTTCCCCATTGTTGGGGGGGATTAGTGTTGCTGCTGCCTCTTCCATCTCTAGCATGCCCTCTTCTCCACCTGTGTCTAACTTGAGGAAAGCTGTGCATAGTGCAGGTGCAGTGTCCTAAATTTCTCCACTGATTCAACCATCTTGCTGCATCAACACATCATTGCAACATATGACAGAATTATGCTATAAATTAGTAAGAGGCTTCAGGATGTGGTGCTTCTTGCTTGAGCGTTCTAAAATTACTAGAAGTCTAGTTAAATACATCATATACATTAACAGCTTTCTGCACATGGATTTGTAATTTACACACCTGGAATAACTCATCCTCCAGTTTTATTTGTAAGACACAGCTCAGTAGTTCTGAAACTAAGTATGGAAAAGAGCTCACTAATTGTTACTGTGTTTCCTTAAGAATTTTTTTCTCAGATAAAAGCAGCTGAAAGCATTTATTCAGAAAAAAAATTGTTTTCTTGTATCCACTAAACTAGCTGGTTGTGTCTAGGTTTATTTTCATTTAAGATAGTAGAAGGGGCATGTTGTATGGAACTTCATGGCTGTTGTCTTGTTGTGTTTTGATTACTGAACTGAATCCTCTTTAATGCAAAAAATCTCTTTTATCCAGGTTCTTCCTCGGCTTCTGTGAAATACCTGCAGTCCAAAAATGGCAGCAAATAAGCCCAAAAGTCAAAATTCTTTGGCTCTACACAAAGTCATCATGGTAGGCAGTGGGGGTGTAGGAAAATCTGCATTAACGCTGCAGTTCATGTATGATGAGGTAAGAACCTAACATCCATAAGTGAATTTTAGTTAATAAGCTGACCATATTCTTGAGTTGTGTGTGAACCAGGGAGTCAAGCAATTACATCGCAGTTTGTTCAGGTTTGGTAATGACGTGGCTTTGGTTCAGGCTAAGAAATTTGGATGACAAGATAATTACTCAGTGTATATATATATATAAAATTAAATGTGCGCAGATTGGATGTGTTTTCTAACTACAGTTTCTCATGGGAAACTTTGATATATACCCACTATAATACTTGAGTAATTGTTTCTCTGTTTAGTTGGATAGCATTTTGTGTGAAGGTGCAAGTTAGAAATGGATAGTTCCCATACTGAGCATGGCATTTCTTACTATAAGCGGAGACACATGTATTCTTTTTGGGAACAAAAGATGGACCAAAAATATTCAGGAATGTGCCCTGGCTGCTGCTAAAATCTGATTTAAACACTATATGGAACTTGAGGTGATCAGGGTTTTATTTTTAGTTAACAATTATATTACTCTTTATTTACACAAGTTTAATTTGCTGCTATGTTCATACAGTATTATAAGAGTACTTATGCGTATTAATGATTTTGAAATGTAAATAGATGATGGCATCCAGATAATACACTATCACTTCTGCTGTGTAGTCATCATTACATAGCTAAATATACTAAGAATGGGAGAGTGGAATCTAGTGTGGAAACATATCAGTGATTCCCAATTCCTTTGGTGTAGTGATCCACAAGTCTAAATTTACTTGGTATGGCAATCCACTTTAAAATAAAAAGGACGTGCACAAATCAATAAAACTATAAAAGCCTGGGATCCACTTTCACAGGCTTTGCAACCTGCTTTAGGTCTGGGACCCACAGGTTGGGAAATGCTACATTAGCTCAACCTATTGCTTTCCTTGGTGACTTGATCATGATGTAATGTTACTGGGGAAGAAGGTTATACCTTAGCTATCTATTATTTTATTAGTAGTATTTATTACATTTATATCCCACCCTCCCCGCAGACGGGCTCAGGGCAGCTCACAATTAACGGCACCATGTGCCGAAACAGCATAAAACATTAAAAAGAAGATAAAACAGAATAAAAACACTCATACATCAAACAGTTAAAGTGCTCGCAGAGATGGTTGACGTTCAGTCAATTTGAGGTGGCATGCAATAAAATATAGTATTAAAGTCCCAATTCAGCAGTATTCTGGCCTCTTGTGACTCTGTGGCTTGATCTCATAATGGGCCAACCTATTACCACGATGTTAATCTAATACCATCTACCTTTATGATGTCTGCACTTTGTTTCAGGGAAAGTCCCAAAATACTCCTCAGCATTCTGTTGTTTCACTTAGTTACCAGCATATGACTTCTTCTACAGTTTGATTGGTGAACATTCAGGAGTAGCCATTTTGACAGCCTTGTAAAAAACCAAACTGGTTTTAATTGGCTCATGTCCATTCTGGCACTTCTCAAGGATATTTTCTCCAAAGCAGTGAGGGATATACCAACATGGACTTCTGATAATGATGTGAAGCTGTATAAACAAAACCATGCATTTAAGAACATAAGAGAAGCCATGCTGGATCAGGCCAGTGGCCCATACAGTCCAAAACTCTGTGTCACACAGTGGCCAAAAACCAGGTGCCATTTTTAACAGATGCATCTGTACTGGTACACTGATACCATGTTTGGTCAAAGCTGCTCTTCTGCAGCCATAAGGACACTTACTGTATTGGAATGGCATTTTATTATTTATTTCTGCCTTGCTTTTTCTCCCTTCTGGAGGTTTGAAGCTTCTTGCGAAGAAATGCAAAAATATACTGGCAATATGGAGTACAACTCTGACATCCTGGGTTGGCCCCCAGATCCACTGACCCAGCTCACTCAGGGTCATAGGTCTGTGAGTCATGGGCTAAGAGCCCAGAGCCCTTTGGCTTCTGTCAAAGATCTTGCACCTCTGGGGATATCTAGACTTAAATACCTGTAATAGAGAGGGGAGCAGAAGCTCAGCTTCCCTTTAGCATACTGCTACTTCAACCCCTTTGCTGTTACTGAGGGTCCCCTGACTGTGCCCCAGGAGCAAAATTTCGGTGGGCTGCTCTCTCTGTGTGGGTCGTTGTGTGTGTGTAGGGGTGTTCTGCAAAGTTTGCATGGCTTGTGCTACTCTGAACCCTACGTTCTGTATTTATAACATGATAGTTATTGTACACACAGAGCTGACTCTTTCCTTCCTTACCAGTTTGTGGAAGACTACGAACCCACCAAAGCAGACAGCTACAGGAAAAAAGTAGTTCTTGATGGAGAAGAAGTCCAGATAGATATACTGGATACAGCAGGACAGGAAGATTACGCTGCAATTAGAGACAACTACTTCCGGAGTGGAGAGGGTTTTCTCTGTGTGTTCTCCATTACAGAGCTTGAATCTTTTGCAGCTACAGCAGACTTCAGGTAATTAGAGGGTAACTGGTTCATCTTATTTGTCTAGTTATATATTTATTGCTGTGTGCTGGAGCTCTGCTTGTTATTTTTCCATTTCAAATTTGCCATTTACTTTGCCTTAAAATGCCTCTACCCATATAGCTGGGACATGGGCTGTCATTTTTACAAGTCACATATACGTGGAATTTCTTCCTTCTGTTGAGGCTTTTTAAAATCGTTTTTGGTGGGGTGTTGTGCATGTGTGTGTCCTTGCGTGTCTGGAAGTCGTGGTGACTGCTGGTGACCCCTAGTGGGGTCTGGACATTTCAGAGAGGTGGCTTGATTGCCTGGCTCTGCGTCCTGAGCCATGGTATTGCTTGGAGGTCTCCCTTCCAAATACTTGCCTGGGCTATCCAGGTCAGGACCTGTTGAGGTACGTTGTTGTTGGCAATGTATCCTGGGCTGTCATTGAAATGGATGACATTACTGTCTAAATTTCCATTTTTATCCATTTTTTTCTCCAGTGAGCTCTCCTGCACGTGTTGTAGCTTAACATCCTAAATTGGACCCTCTTAACACCCCAGGCCACTGTTGCAACTCTGTCTTCTATATTAACTTCAGTTGACATATCTCTAATCTCTAAGGAGAAAGGGCATGGGAAAGGGATGAGAGGAAGGCCTCTGGTGAAATGTCATTCTCTAAACAGGACCTTTGTTTGTAAACTGTTAGAGAGTGCAGACTTTCAGCTGTGTGGAACATCTGCAGTGTCTGTCCACACTATTCCTGAACTGTTTCACTAGCCTGGGTGGGAAAGGCACCATTAGAAAGCAACGGATCCCAACTCTGACATCCTATAAACTATTATTTTGCTACATTCAGCTGTGCTGTAAAGAATTCTTTTCCATGGCAGGCTATACATGGGAATCAGCTGTGTTGAGGTATTCCTCAGTGGGAGGACAAATAAACCTTTTGCACACTAGTGTTTCAGTGTGGAGAAGGCATTTCATCATCACAACTGTGGGTTTCATAGTGTTGGTAGAAAGTGCCATCAAGTCACAGCTGACTTAAAGCGATCCCGTAGGGTTTTCAAGGCACAAGACATTGCTTGCCTCCATGTCACACCCCTGGCATTCCTTGGAGGTCTCCCATCTAAATACTAGCCAGGTCCTACCCTGCTTAGCTTCCACCACAGGAGGTGGTGGCGGCTACAAGCATGGACGGCTTCAAGAGGGAATTAGATAAGCATATGGAGCATGTCCATTGGTGGCTATTAACCACAAGGTATAGATAGGAACTCTCGGTGTAGGGCAAGTGATGCTCTGTATTCTTGGTGCTCCTAGTGTCCTGGCCCCACTGATGGACCTCCTGATGACACCTGGTATTTTTGGCCACTTTGTGACACATAGTGTTGGACTGGATGGGCCACTGGCGTCTCTTATGTTCTTATGTTCCAAGATCTGATGAGATCGAGCTAGCCTGGGGTCTCAGGGCAGGGCGGGTTTCATAGATACCGTTTCAAAGATGGCCTTTGGAAATCAGTTCTAAAAATCTTTGGAAGCTATTTTACTCTGAAACTGAAGTATTTATATTGCCTTTTTGTTTTTTTTGAGGAAGGGCTTATATTAAAGCCTTGATAGCTTATTTTGGGTGAAGCACTGGGCTCAACGAGAACCTAAGAAAACATGTCTAGGGATCTTACTCTTATGTGAATCAGTTTAGAGCTTGATAGGGGTGTGGAGCTTACTGTGTTATAAAACCTTTGTGCCTCTGGCTTATGCTCTATAACATCTTTATGGCTGTGGCTCATTGAGGTCAAGTTTCTTTCTAGAAGGTAGATGCGAGTTCTGAAATTCAGTAGGAATAATGGAATGTGATTTGGTCACCCTTCCATTTTAGCTTGTTATACATGCTCTCCCATTGCAAGGATTCTGCGATGGTATCTTATCCTTGCCAAAATTCCTTTGGTAGCTGGAGGAAAAGCTGTTCGGTGTGTGTGTTTAGATATATACAGCATATTCAAAATTTTTGATGCTGAACTAGTCCAGTCTTAAAGCAACAAAGAAGACCCCAAATATTACCTTCATTTCTACTGGACACCAATTATTTATTTTATTTATTTTATTGGTCTTGTATCCCGCCTTCCCCACAAAGAGGCTCAGGGTGGGTTCCAACAGTCTTAATACAATATATAATACAATTTAAAACATAGTTTATAAAGTGCCGTGCATAATTTAGCCAGATGTCCCAGCAGTTAGATGGTTCCTGTATGGCTATTCAGATCCAGGTCACCGATGGGGGAGGGAACCGGGAGGGGGGCGACCGCTGTCTCAGTCAAAAGCCTGGCAGATGAGCTCCATCTTACAGGCCCTGCGGAATTGTAATAAAACCCGCAGGGCCCTGATCTCATACGGGAGCTAATTCCACCAAATAGGGGCCAGACCCGAAAAGCCCTGGTCCTAGTTGAGGCAAGTCAGACGTCCCTGGGGCCAGGAACTACCGAAAGATGTTGGTTAGTAGACCTCAGTGCTCTATGGGGCTCATATGGGGACAAGCGTTCCCTAAAGTATGCTGGCCCCTGGCCATATAGGGCTTTAAAGGTAAGCACCAACACCTTGAAATGGATCTGGTGCTCAATAGGCAGACAGTGCAGTTCATGGAGCACTGGATGGACCCACACTGTTGCATTCTGCACTAGCTGCAACTTCCGGAGCTGAGTCAAGGGTAGCCCCAAGTAGAAGGGGTCCCACGTAGAGGATTACAGTAATCCAATCTAGAAGTGACCATTGCATGGGTCACTGTAGCCGGGTCACGGGGGATGAGATATGGGGCTAGCTGCCTGATCTGCCTCAGATGGAAAAAGGCAGACCTGGCAGTGACATGGGCCTCCATAGAAAGTGAGGCATCCCAGGAGCACCCCCAGATGCTTCATTTTCAACGTTGGCACCAGTGGAGCACCATCAAAGGTTGGGAGCCTGATTCCCTGACCCAGTCCCCCGCAACTCAGGTGCAGGACCTCCATCTTGGATGGGTTTAACTTCAGTTGGCTCTGTCATAGTCATCCAGCCATGGCTTGTAATGCCCTGTCCTGATCTCCTGGGGCCATGTCCGGGTGGCTGTCCATCAGTAGACAGAGCTGGGTGTCATCCGCATACTGGTGACATCCCAGCCCATATCTCTGGATAGTCTGGGTGAGAGGGCGCATATAGATATTAAAAAGCAAAGGAGAGAGAATTGCTCCCTGTGGCACACCACATTCATAGAATCATAGAATGTTAGAGCTGGAAGGGACCTTGCAGGTCATCTAGTCCACCCCCCTGCACTCTGCAGGAGCATAGCTGAAAGATAGCCCTACAACATACCCAAAAGATGGTCGTCCAGCCTCCGCTTGAAAACGTCCAGCGGAGGAGCATTCACCACCTCCCGAGGCAGTCTGTTCCACTGCTCAAGCACTCTTGCAGTTAGGAAGTTTCTCCTGATATTTAGCCAGTAACGCCTCCCTTGTAATTTCCACCCATTAGATCTAGTCTCGCAATCCGGAGCAAGAGAGAATAGATCCGCTCCATCTTCTACATGACAGCCCTTCAAATACTTGAAGACTGCAATCATGTCCCCTCTAGCTTTCTCTTTCCCAGGCTAAACATACCCAACTATTTCAGCCTTTCCTCATAAGACTTGGATTCCAACCCTTTCACCATCCTGGTTGCCCTCTTCTGGACACCCATTCCAGTGGGTGTTGTTGGGATAACTCTCCCCCAAGCACCACCCTCTGTCCCCAACCTTGGAGAAAGGAGGTCAGCCACTGCAAGGCAAGCCCTCATATTCCTATGTCGGCGAGGTGGTGGGTTAACCATATCGAATGCTGCTGACAAATCAAGAAGTATCAGCAGCGCTGATCCGCCTCGATCCAAATGTCTCCAGAGATCATCCACCAAGGACAACCAACACCGACTCCATCCCATGGGCAGGGCGAAAGCCAAACTGGAGGGGGGGGGGTCCAGGACTTGAGCCTCATCCAAGAAAGCCTGAAGCTGTGTTGCCACTGCCCTCTCTACTACCTTACCCAGGAACGGTAAGTTAGACACTGGGTGGTAGTTCTTAAGGACTGTAGGGTCCAAAGAAAGTTTTTTGAGGAGAGGGCATACCACTGCCTCCTTCAGTCCCCCTGGGAAGGTCACCATTGAGCTGGACAGATTGATAATCTCCCTCGGGGGGTCCATCCCTCATTGCCGCAGGTTTTGACCAGCCATGATGGGCAGGGATTTAGGAGGCATGTGGTAGGCTTCGCAGCTGCCAGGGTCTTGTCAGCTTCATCCTGGGAGAGCAGACTGAAGTGGTCCAAAACTGGACCTGAAGACGGTCAATGGGCTTCTAGTTCTTTTACTGTATCAAGTGTGGTTGAAAGGTCACAGCAGAGCAACAAGACTTTATCTGCAAAACAGGTTGCAAATGCCTCACAGCCAATTGTTGGTTCCCTACCTTTTGGCATGCCCTGAGGCAAAGTAGTCAAGGACTGAATAATTCTAAATAATTGGGCTGGGTGAGAGCTTGCAGATGCAACGGAGGTCACATAGAAATGTCCGTTCGTGGCCTTCACAGCCATCTCATAGGTTCTCATAAATGAAAGCCTTATGCCAGTTTGGGTTTTCTTTTGTGGGTGGTGAAGTAATCAAATAAATTTGATCAAACCCCCCCCCCTACAATTTCACTCTGCTGCAGTGTACCTTGATGGCTACACTTCTGTATACAATCAGCATTTGGCTTCTTTACTTAGTAAACAGGATCTCCTGCACCTTGACAGGAGTGGTCCTTGCATAGTTTGAAATATAGCAGCTGATCTCTGGCACCAAAACTACCAAACAGCTGCTGCCTGCTGAATAATGTGGTTCTTGTATGTGGATCATTTTTCAAGGGTAGATATGAGAAACTGTGGAGGTGAGTAATTGACCAGAATTACTGAGTCAACAATAATTACAGAAATAGACTGTATACAGTGACTCACTTTTTAGCCAATTAAGTATTTGTGTTGCAGC